TGATTTTTTGTTCTTTGATTCCTGATACCTGATCCCATCGACACCTCATGATCACACAGGCTGATGTGCTTCTTCCATGTGGGTGTTGTCACTTCTAAGCTAGATAGCTGCTTGCTTATCTTCAGCCCTTTAAGACCCCAGATGCTATATCTTTTGATAGCTGGACACCATCAACTTTCTTCAATTATCGTGAAAATATACAAAACTTTCAACAACTTCTCTATATTTCAGTGATATGAATTGTGTCCCTTCTGTTGTGTAACCCTTATTGCTACTCCTTTCAAATGATCGCACTACCATGAACATAAATTCAATGTCTCCTAAACAAACCCTCCTCCTTTCCCTATCCTGATTAAGCACGAATAATCTTTGATTTCTATATTTTGTTTACTTTATACAAGAAAGTAAAGATCATATAGTATTTGTTCTTGTGTAATTGACTTATTTTACACAGCATTCTATTTTGAAGGTTTATTCATGTTGTGGTAGTAAGCATCAAAACTTCATTTCTCCTTATGATGAGATATTATTCCCAAATGAGTATATATCACATTTTGTTTTTCATTCATCTTTTAATAGACATTACTATTTTATTTTACCTTTTGTCTAATTTGAAAAGCACTCCAATCAGTACTGATGTACAAGTATCTAATATTTGGGACAATCTCTAAAGGAGATGGGAAAGAGGATGTATAAGGTGAGAAATACTGATGGCCCATCAATATGAGGAGTCATCCAAAAATTTTGTAGAAAATTTCCATGATCTTTTAATTCCATTTTCCACGAAACTTTTTAAGTCTGCTCATATGTACCTTGACATGTATCTTTCTTCTTGGTAATCAACTTGAGAGACTGGTAATTTGGGGGTAGATAGATGTATATATAGAGAAAAATGGATAAAGGCAGAGAGAGAGAGAGTAGAAACAGTATTTGTAATAACATATCATACTAGTCACAGTGCTGACCCTGATAAATGCTAATGACTTGTAAATTTACAAGTGACATCCTGGGTCCAAGTTGTGCTGATACTCACTTTATGGTTGACAGCTGCATTAGCTAAATTCCTGGTAAGGAATGCATCTGGTATGTCAGCGTTTGAGAAAACTTCATGTGCGAATCTTTAGTAGTTGATTTGGAATACAGCCTAAGGATTTTTTTTAATTTTACAATTCCATTCACGATTCTGACACCGCCAAGTTTTAGTGATTTAAAAGTCATTTTCCTGTTCCATGTCTCCATAAATGCACAAATGTGCTTGGGGTGTTCACAGCTTCTATTTCCCGGTGAAAGACTGACTTTTTATAGAGAAGCATAAAAGGAAAACAAAGACTATAAGAGAAATCCTGCCTGGCTGGGATAATGTCTCTGAGTTCTCCTGGTTTTATATTTTATAGTAAAATTTTCAGAAATTTATGGGAAAAACCCAGATGTATTGACACTATTATAGTTTATAATAAAGTTTCGAGAGTTAGAAAAAAAAATCAGTCCATTTTAAGGTTTTGCTTACTTAGCAGTTAAGTATTATTTTCTTCAAGAAGATATTAGATTCGCAAAACTTCTAGGATCCAATAGAAGCACTTTGCAATCACTGAAACTTTTTAGACAGCATGAGAATTCAAGGTGGTTAGAGAAAAACCCTAGGGCAATGATTGGAGCTATACAGAAGAGAGAAAAACGTGTATTACGTAAGCTGGAAAGCTACAGAAACAGTGGCTCAAGGAAAGCAAAAGATCGGTCAATTGGGCAGATCTACTTTTGTAGTGCTTTTAATTTTAATTTTCATCATTCTGTTCATGGGAATATATTCCTTCTATTACAACAACTCAACCCAAACTGCCTGAACTCCGCCATAGTCCGGCAATCACAATTTCAAGTTTCTAAGCACCTAAAATCAAGCTCGAACTTGCAGAATCAATTTATTGTGAGGTCTTATTGTTTGAAACTCCTTCAGGCTCTGTAAACTTCTGTCAGACACGAATAGCTTCCTTTTTTATGTTTTCATATGAAAAGCATTAGGGTGTGATGAGAGATTTTAAATATAATATTTTCCTAGTCATTCCATTACATAGAAATTGTGTATATAATTACCCTGATTCCAGCTTTATAGAATCATGGAAAACATGGTCTAAATAAAAATAGGTGAGGTGGATAGAAAAGTTTAGCTTTATATTAAAAATGAAATTTCCTCCTTTTATTTTAAAATCAGTTAAAATTGGGTTGGGGTAAGACCACCAATCCTCCGTCAGATTGTCATACTGTGGTGGTTTTCATATTGCTGGGATGCTAGAAGCTATGTCACTGGCATTTCAAATACATCAGTGTCAGCCATGGTAAACAGGTTTCAGCAAAGCTCCCCCACAGAGGGAAGAGTGGCAAGAAGGAAGAGGACATTGACTTCTGAAGGATTAGTCATGGAAAACCTTAGGAAAAGGAGCAGAACGCTGTCAGATATAGTGTCGGAAAATGAGCCCCGGGTGGGGAGGCACTCAAAATATGACTAAGGAAGAGTGAGTTGCCTCCCCAAAGTGGCGTCAACCACAATGATATGTACAGTGTAAAGCTTTTAGCACATTCGGTTACTGATGGGGCATGCCTCAAAATGAGAAGAAAAAGCTACCAACATCCATTAATAATTCACATGTGAAATGTACAAAGTATGAATCTAGGAAATTTGGAAGTTATCTGGAATTAAATTAAATACACAATGATTTTACACATTATGGGAGAGACCAGTTCCTGGTAAAAGACATCATGCTTGGAAAAGTAGACAATTATCAAAACAGAAGAAGACTCTGCATAAGAGGGTTCAATACAGTGGCTGCAACAATGGGTTGATCCTTAACACCAGGTATGAGGATGGCACAGCTTATATTTTGTTCTGTTGTACATCAGGTCACTGTGAGTCAGAACTGACTGGACAGTGCCTAACAACAATGATGATGGCAACAACAAGAAGATACTTGCCAGACCCAATTCACCAGCCAAACAAAAACATTCTAACGTGACGTTTTTCTTAAAGCACTTTGTTAATTTTAAAATTATATATTCTATTAGAAAGTAATGAATTAGGCATCTCATCAGGCATATTGTAATTGTTTCTAAGCTGACCACTTGCATGAAACCAAACAGCTCACTGCCATCAAGTCAATTCTGACTCATAGTGACCTTTCTCTGGAGGAGCAACTGGTGGTTTCAAACAGCCAACCTTGGAGTTAGCAGTCCAACACTAACCATTATGCCTCCAGGCTTCCCTTTTATCCATTTAATTTTTATCATCATCTTGTTTTCTTGCTCACAAACTTTCCACGGGATCTCAGTCTTCCCAAACACAACTTAAACTTATCTTACCAAACTTATCTTACCAAAATTAAAGATGAAGCTTTTCTTCAACACCATGTCCTCTGGCCTAGAATCCAATGTCACTGGATATCTATGCAGCTCCCCACATCACTGTAGGTCCAAATCTCTGCTTGCTTCCAGTTGCTATTGAAGTGGAACTTTGCCACATCTTCTAGTAACCTTTCATCTACAGTATTGCTGTTATGCCAGTTTCTGTGTTGCACCTTGTATGGATAACATAGATTTATGCCCTATCTCCCTCTAAACTTATATCCTGTTCTTGAAAGAATGGCGCTTCACTAGTAGGGAGTATCTTCTTTTTGATCCTTAGGATCAAATGACATGGTTGATTTTGCAGTTATCTATTCTATTGGAACTTATCCAAATGTACAGACACAGAACACTAGAAGAATCATAGACAATTCCTGGAACACTATTACAGAGAGATCAGGAAATTAATGCTGTATGTCAGAAGATAAAAGTGCTTTAGGGTGCTCATAGGAGTCAAAGGATTTAGTCTGGGCTCTGGTT